TATATATATAAATATACTTCTGTCTCTTTCCAATATAAATATGTATAAATGTCAAAAATTTCTATTTGTATAAAACATTGTTTCGCAAACAAATCATGAATTTGTATATATGTAAGCAGTTATTTTGTACACATATCAATTAATAAATAAAAGCACAAACACATAAAGTGCACTATCCTGTGAAAACACGTCTGGAAAGTCCCATGCTGAATTATTATCTTTTTATTTAAATTACTTTTAACATTTTTTATAACGAGTCATGATGTGGATTGTTTATGATTGATTTTCTCACAAATTAACCATTAATCAAATATTATGTCTTTTATTTTTCTAATATCAATGTATAATAATTTCTTATGTTATAATATGTAATCATAAAAGTTTAATATTATACAAATTAATATATTTCTAATTCAGCAGTATTGTTATTAATTAAAGTCAACTCAATGTGTAATTATATCTTATAGTAATGCACTTGCATGATATATGTTGTTTTAAGACAACATAGCTTCTCTGGATTAAAATTGACAAAAGACCCAGCTAACTAACACGCTAACATAACAAACCCTCAACTAGGGAACAGGTAGCAAATACAGATGTGTCATCACCTCCTGGATCTCCAACCACATACCGACGATTCAACAGTCGAGAAGAAAATGTATTCTCCAGATTGACTGCAAGTAGACAACCAACATCGACAGATCCACAACCTATAAAAGGAATTATTTCTCAATATCAAGGCAAGGTAAAAATAATACAAATGTAACATTTTATTAGATGTACATGATATGTAAAATTGTTTTCAGACACAACCACGTGCTGTTTTGCAATGTACTCATGTAGCTGAAGGACATAGCAAAGCAGTTCTGACTATATGTGCAACTTCAGATTTGCTTTTCAGTGGTTCCAAAGGTATCAAGTATAATACAAATATTTAATGTTTTAAAAAATCCTATTTGATTGTTACTTATATATTTGTATATAATATTTTTAGATCGAACTGTGAAAGTATGGGATTTAGGATCAGGAATTGAAAATCTTACATTAAGTGGTCATCCAAATAATGTTGTAGCAGTGAAATATTCACCCATGCATAATTTATTATTCAGTGTTTCTTCAGCTTATGTAAAAGTTTGGGATTTACGAACAGGCAATAGTTGCGTGAAAACTCTATTTTCATCTGGTCAAGCTCAAAGTGGGCCAATTGCATTATCAACTCCATCTAGAATGCTTCAAGTTCCACTTGGTGAAACAACCATTAATGATTTAGTACTTAGTATAGATGAGCAAGAATTGTATACCGCATCTAGCGATAAAGTCCGAGTATGGGATCTTCGTAAATTAACACATACTGGAAGATTAAGTACTCCACACACAGCAGCAGTAATGTGCCTAGCTGTCGCAGATGATGGTAGAGTAATAACAGGTAGCAAAGATCATCTGATATCTCTTGTTGAACCAAATGCATCTGGACAATCTGTTAGTTTGGCACCACCACATTATGATGGTGTTCAGTGTTTGACAACTTGTGATTCCACATTGTTTTCTGGTAAGTATTATTCCGATAATTTTTTAAGTATTTCTTTTTATAATTTTTAATGCTTTTTAAATAACTTTAAAATCTACAATGAATAACTTTTTAGGTTCAAGAGATATGTGCATTAAACGATGGGACCTGAGCAAAATGGAACTAGTCCAGTCACTGAATAATGCTCATAAAGATTGGATTTTGGGCTTATGTATGATTAATAATGGATCTGTAATGATATCAGGATGTCGAGGAGGAGTTTTGAAGGCATGGTCTGTACCAAAGGATCAAGCAGAATGTATTCCAGTAGGAGAAGTTCGAGCACATGGTACTGCTATCAATGCTGTAACAACTAATCAGCAACACGTTTTTACTGCTAGCAAGTAAGTATACTTCTTTAGATGATTACTTACATTAAACTGACCCGAAGCATATTGGAAATATAAGCTGTAATAATGTGACAGTTTTATACTATTAAAATTAACTTTGAACATTTAGTCACATAAATTATTTTAAGTTGAAATGTTTGCTCGGGATCAGTACTTATCATAATTTTCTTGAATGGAATAACGTCTTAATGTTCATTGCAGCTCTGGGGAGGTGAAGCTGTGGCGTATTCCCGATTCCTCATTATCCATGTCTATTTCCACAGTTTCCCTTTAACTTATTTTTCTATTTTGCTGCATAGTATTTCTTTGCATTTATAAGTTGTTGATGTGGTAATGCGCATGTTTGTCCAGATACACTTTGCTGTTTTACAAAAGTGTATGGACATGATTATCATAAATGTATTTCATGAATATCATTCGATAAAATTTTAACGTTTTAATTGATAGATATTTATAACAATTAATATCTCATTTGTTTATATATTTATTTATTTATAATCATATCGAAATTTTTTATTTCGATATATTGAAAGGATAAATTATGAAATGATAATTTTAATTTCTGTTTCAATTGCTTTAACATATAATTACATACTCGAAAATAATGGAAATCGGAAATGCGCTTTAAATTTCTGTAAAATTGTTTATTGATATTACTCATTAGATTAGATATCGAATATGAAACAGATGATTTTTTTTTTTAATTTTATTCTTTTTTCTTTCCTGATCAATTCTTATTTCTTTCTGTGGAAGCTATCTGTACAAAGTATTGCTTTTTGGAAGTATTTGTGCAAGTTTCTAGTAAGAATTTATCACTAATAGCGTGATTGCAGTTATGAATGTATTTTATTGTAGTAAAAAATATTATTTCTCTTATAATTATTAACTCTAAAGTTGACTATGAAAGTTGAATATGAAAATTGAATTCAATTTTTCTATTACTTTGCTTCTATGTTGTTTACACTTCGATTTGGTGCTTTGCATGGTCACCGTGTCGACATGAAGTGACGGAACGGTGAGGCTGTGGAGCTACTATAAGAGAGATGCAAGAAATTTCCAGAGAAGCAACTCATTAAAAAGCTAATATATGCACTTATTGGAAATGTATTTATTTTGTAACTATATATTTTTTATTTATTTGTTAATTTGTATTAATTTTATAACATAAGAGACAATTAATATGATATTTGTAATGATAATGCACCTGACTTATTGCTTGCTGATTATTAATTTCGATTTTTTATGTTTGGAAACATAGAACAGATATGTTGTTTGACTTTAAATGTTTTACAATTTAAGTTTCGCGAGTACTGCCTTAATGAATATAAGTATTTAATATGTATAGAATTTATAAATGTAATTTTTAAATAACAAAACAAAAACATTTCTATAGTATATAGAAATATAAAGTCCAAAGATGTAATTTTTAAAAAATTTATTTAGCAAAAATTAAGTGCATTATCGAGAGTTAGGCATAGGATTTAAACAAATTTATTTAAGAAGAACAAGTTTGGTATTATCTAGCATTTATTTTATTATGAACATGAAGGTGGTAATAATTACAATATTTACTCTTAGTACAAACAATAATTGTTGATTAATACTGTACAGTCTGAGGTCTCTGTAGGTCCCAAATGCTTGATATTGTCAGGGTTGGCTGTTATTTAGTTTTCTTCTAAAAATTTATAAACAGTATTATGTCTAATTATACTAATAATTACAAAAAAATAAATGGACTAATAATAATATTAAATGTCGTGTCCTTTTAATACAGAAAATACGTATAATAAAGAAACAAGTATATACCTCTTCTTCTTTTTATGTGTTGTCAATGATTCTTGACCACTGTCATCTGCACTATCTTCTGATTGACTACTACTACTACTACTTGAAGAACTACTTGAAGAACCACTAGAAGAATCACTGGCAACACCAGTATCTTCTTTTACATCTATAGTTTCAGCAAGTGTTGCTAATTCTGGTTCTTTATCCCTGAGTACTTTTAACCATTTACGTGATAATTTTGGTCTCCCTCGCACCTACAGCAACATTATTAAAATATATGGAATTACAAATACAATGCATGTGTATCAAACGTATTTTATTGAACTTATATTTTCATACATAAATACTTACCGTTTTATGCCACACTACTGGGAAATTTGTACGAGAACAGAAATTTTGCGTAACTGCTATAGTTTCATCAAGATTTAAAACAACATGCCACCAACCACCAGGAACAAAAACAGTTTCACCAGGATTTTGTAAAATCTCTATAGGTAAACAATCTTGTGGCCAGGTAGGCAATTTTGTACGGGGATAAATAATGGAAAACCATGTAATAGCTTCATCTCTCTGTTTACCACCTTCAGCTGCAGATACTTTAAGAAGTTCTCGAGGTGTGTGCGTAGGAAATAGACACCATCGTTTATGTCCAGAAATCAGTGCATTCCAGGCACTGGTTCCTAATGGATCTATGTGTATGCCTGTACCTGTATTACATTACTTATTCATAACGTAGTCTAAAATAATTGTTTATATAAAGCAGTTATACAGGTATTTTTTAAAATATTTAATATCATTACTATAATTCTGTTTGTTTATACAAGGATAATTAAAGTACCCACCAGACCTTGCAGGTCCCATAACGAACCAGCGATATGGTGGTCTTCGATGTTCACCAGCATATTGGAAAAGATCATCTCGGAAATATTTAGGAATAACATAATCTTCTAATAATTTTTTTCGCCTAGGATGTTCACCAAAGGAACTATCAAAGATATACAGGGGCGAATCATCTTCATTATTAAGCATATAGCGTACATAATATTTCATTTTCATTTTTACACTATATCCTTCATTGTCTTCACCACATTTAAATTTTTGATTTCTGTATTTCTTTACTAATCTCTATATTTTAATAGAAAATTAATAACAAAAGATATTAATATTTGATTCGTAATTAAAAAATATAAAATACCTCTATAGTCCATTTATATTGGGCTTTCCAACCATTTTGAACACCTTGTATTATCACAGGCTTGTAAGGTTTTTCATATTTTTCTATAAATTCTTCTGTAGATACTATGGATTCATCAATACGATCCACATTGTCCATAAAATTCCAAAAGGATTCAAATTTTTTACTGTAACCATGTTGGATCCAAGCTGCCTTATCACCAAGTTCTAGAAGAAATATTCATCTTTTGTAAAAACAAAACAAATGCAATTTAAAAAAATTTGGACGTTTTAATAATATGAAAATAATAAAGTATCTTATGTAAACAATGGAGATTTATTAACATTTGTATGTATTACTGACACTATGTAATGAAGACAATTAATGCTTATACAATTGGAACGGTAAACTATTTACGTATAAGTGCATTATGTTATATTGTTATCGTAATACTTTCAGTAAATTTGGAGTTACATCATCCAAGGTCGGCAAAGATCGGTCTTGTATCACATATCCAAATTCTGTTTATAACGACGAGCGTCACAAGAAGACAAACGTTGTCTCAATTACTTCTAGTCATACTAGTAATATAAAATAATTCGTGAAGAATAATTGTTTGTTAAAGGTAATTTACGCCCATATCACGTCAACGTATAGGTTATAAGTTAGGTTATGACATGTTTACCTGGTCTAGCTTTCCTTTTAACCTCTTTGATCCTCTTTTTCGCACGATGATCTAATTTCAATTCATCCGTCATGGCTACACGTTTATTATGTTACCTAATTAATCTATTTTCAATATATTTACAATTTACAATCAAGAAATATGTGTAACACGTCATTCAGTGGTAACTGTACTTTTTAGTTCGCATAAATCCCGTAAGGTGTATCAAAACATTAGCTAATATTTTCATAAATATATGAAACATTAAGTACTACTTTCTTATTAATATTTTAGAAAAATATATAATATATTATTCAGATTTCATTTTATATGATTTTGTCATGTGTGCCTTCGTTACTCTATATAGCTTTGCTTTTGTTGACTACAATACGATGACCTTAAGTAGCATAACTAAAGTTCTGTACATTATGTACAGAGGCGCTGATTCTTGCGTATGACTGCCTACGTGACAAATACCATGTTCTACCAATAGGTCATTCCATAAATGTAATTGCGCTTCTAGAAATATCGATATCGTAACTTTCGCTCTCATACTTAGATAATCACATGCATAAATCAGCTCTTTATTTAAAATATGACAGTATTAACTGTTAAAAAGAATATGTTTTAAAATATATACGCTTGTCATTTTCATTTTTTCCAATAAACAAAATTTTTATAATCATAAATACATTATCAAATTGTTACATCATTATAAAGTATGATATTAAAAAAAATTTTCTCCAGTAATTCTAATAATTTCGTTAACAAACTAAAAAAACATATCTAATAAATCTATTTTCTTGCGAAAATAACACATAAACTGACATTTAAAAAGATATGAAATAATAACATAACAAGAAACTTGTATCCGCGGTCGAAAGTTCAACGGTTCCCGACACGCATGCGCAGTAAAGTAAGTTGGCGCGGAATACCCGGATGTGCTGCCGCACGAGCACGATACGGTAGAAGGAAGAGGCATGACGCCATGTTTTGATGTCGTCATCCCCCCCAAACCTCTGTTTCTTGAGCAGCACAATAGTCTGTCAGTGTTTTTCTGTTGTGCGCCTCGTGTTCCGTGTTCCTGGTGGCCGTTTTGGCGTGCTCCATTCGCCCTCCCCTTCGTCGCGTCGAAGTTGGATGCTTGCCTTTGAGGCTAACGCTTGTCCCTGTGGGTTGACGGTCGCTGAAGGTGGCCTTTCGTATCTTTTCATGTCCGGGGAAGTAACCGCGGAGCGGGGGGGGTCCGCGAGCGTCGTCTACGTGGTGGTAGTGTCCTAGTGCGGGGAGGACGAGCGACCACGATCCTCCGCCGAACGGTTAATCAAAGTGGTTACGTCACACAATCCTGAGCTAGGCTTTCGAAAGAAACGCCTTACTAAAGAAGTGGACGGCGACGACGACGGGGACGAGGACGACGGCCCTGCTAAAATGGAGCTGCGCCTGCACTCGCCAGCCGGAGCAGAACCGATTGTCTATCAATGGCCCCTCACCTCCGGATCCGGATCTGTAAGTAGTTTTTTTTGTAATTGCGCATTTAAGTTTATTCTATGTAAGAAATACATGATATATGAGAAATACATAGAGAGTTGCTGTGTGACCTGTCGTTTATCCCTCATTCTCACAGCTGATCGTACATGTATCGCACGACGCGAATTTTTCCCACCACTATTTTATCACGCTGTCACATTTGTTCTACTCAGAACCATAAAACGTTTTGAATTCTCGAGTTTTTCACATCTCATGATTATTAATAACTATTTATATATGCAACCTTTAATTGTACACTGTGCTCTGTTTGCATGTACATATATAGGTACATAAAGGAGATACTTGCAACTATCATTATTTAGTTTCTTTCAGAATAATTTTTTCATTAATTATATTTTAATGAAGTTTATATATTATTATAATATTATTATAAGTTATATGTTGCCTACATTAAATCACAAATATTTTTTATGTGAAATAATTAGATTTTTATGTTATAATAATTAATATTGATTTATATCTTACAGTCAAAATATTTGTAATGCATGTTAAAATAAATTTATAACAGTTAGAAATTTCTATATTTTTTTTATAGCATGCTATATATTTCTATTAGTATATGTAACAGCTTATATTTACAGTACCTTCTATTAAATTTAATTTTATAATGTATACCTATAGTACAAGTTTTTACTAGTCATTTAAAAATGTTTATTGACAATAAATTTATTTGCAATATATATAGAGTTATCTCTGTGTTTTAAAAGATATTTCTATACATCAGTTTAAGATATTGTATAAGTAAAGAAAAAAGGAAAATCGGAATTTAAGATAATGTTTACTACAATTATGTATTATTTAATTCAAATGAGTTTTATTAAATAATTAATTATAGGATCGTCATGATGGTGCACTTGATGTCGTTGAAACAATGAGATGGGTTTGTGAGGATTTGCCTGACTTAAAGCTACCGTTAGAAAATAATATTTTGTGTGATTATGACACAAGAGATTATGAAAGTATGAAAAATTTGTGTGACAGATTTAATAGAGCAATTGATAGTTTAGTTCAGCTGGTAAGTAAAAAAAATTAATTATATTTAGTTAAATTAGTAATTTGCTTGTAATAACTCAAAATAATTTGACATAGGAGAAAGGCACTAGTTTACCATCACAAAGGTTAAATAAACGACCTAGTCGAGGTTTATTAAGGCATATACTTCAGCAAACATATAATCAAGCAGTAGTGGAACCAGATAAGTTAAATCAGTATGAGCCCTTTTCACCAGAAGTATATGGAGAAACAAGTTATGAGCTTGTATGTCAAATGATCGATCAGATTGATGTAACAGATGATGATGTATTTGTTGACTTGGGGTCTGGAGTTGGTCAAGTAGTTCTTCAAATGGCTGCAGCAACTTTATGTAAAATTTGTATTGGCGTTGAAAGAGCTGATGTACCATCAAGATATGCACAGGTATGTTACTCTTTTAATGGGTTTTTGTGACAGCACTATTTTGGTAATAATGAATTGTTGTGTGTATAAGTCTCTTATTTCTGTCAAATATTAGAGTATGGAAGTAAACTTTCGTAAATGGTTGAATTGGTATGGAAAAAGATGCGGCGAGTATCGTTTGGTAAAAGGCGATTTTTTAGCTGACGAACATCGTGAAAGCATTACTGGAGCTACAATAGTATTTGTCAATAATTTTGCATTTGGTCCAACGGTGGATCATCAGTTAAAAGAAAGATTTGCTGACTTACGAGATGGTGCACGTATCGTATCATCAAAGTCATTTTGTCCCCTCAACTTTCGCATCACGGATAGAAATCTCAGTGGTAATTCATTATATTCCTAAAAAGATAGTAAATATCTGATAAAAATTCGTAATCCTTTTTATTTTCAGATATTGGCACAATAATGCATGTTTCGGAAATGTCACCGTTAAAGGGCTCTGTTTCGTGGACTGGTAAACCAGTGTCTTATTATCTACATGTAATTGATCGTACCAAGTTAGAACGTTATTTCCACCGCTTAAAGAATAATAAACAAGGTGGTGATGAAAATTCTGATTCTGTGATAAATAACACTGCCAGCAGTAGTAATAAGGTTACAAATAGAGGTGAAAGAGGTGACAGAGCTAAACGAGATCTTTCGAGGCAGTTGGATAGCCCAAATCATTCAGAGCAACAGGGAACGAATAGTGATTCAGATGCAGATGAGAATAATATTAAAAATCGTCGGCAACCAAACAAGATCCGTAGAAAGTTGAATAGAAAATCCAATGGTATAACAAGACCTCCAGCTAGGGGCGGCAAACAGAGAGGAAGAGGTGTAAAGAAATCGAAACCCAAGAAAGCAATTAATATTTCTGGCCTGGACTTACTACATAGTCAAACATTACTTAGCACATCTCCACAAGCTTTAGGAAAGAAGCCACCGCCTGCGCCTGGTTGCGTGGATCAACAACTGTCTTCATTATCACTTTCATTACAGTCACATTCCACCTCTGTACATGAAGAACTTAGTATACCACCTGCTCCGTCCGCCACTCCATATGCATTACAAATACTTTTGGATTTATTCAGGTATGTTTAATTTTTTATAAAATGTACACATACCTATCTATATATAGAGTTGTTTACGCAACTATATTTTTGAATACAGGGACCAATTCATGCTCATGTTAGAATCAATGAGAACTCCTTCATACAGAGTATCAGTCAATACGGATATTGCAAAAGAAAGAGAAATTTATATCTTACAGTCAAAATATTTGTAATGCATGTTAAAATAAATTTATAACAGTTAGAAATTTCTATATTTTTTTTATAGCATGCTATATATTTCTATTAGTATATGTAACAGCTTATATTTACAGTACCTTCTATTAAATTTAATTTTATAATGTATACCTATAGTACAAGTTTTTACTAGTCATTTAAAAATGTTTATTGACAATAAATTTATTTGCAATATATATAGAGTTATCTCTGTGTTTTAAAAGATATTTCTATACATCAGTTTAAGATATTGTATAAGTAAAGAAAAAAGGAAAATCGGAATTTAAGATAATGTTTACTACAATTATGTATTATTTAATTCAAATGAGTTTTATTAAATAATTAATTATAGGATCGTCATGATGGTGCACTTGATGTCGTTGAAACAATGAGATGGGTTTGTGAGGATTTGCCTGACTTAAAGCTACCGTTAGAAAATAATATTTTGTGTGATTATGACACAAGAGATTATGAAAGTATGAAAAATTTGTGTGACAGATTTAATAGAGCAATTGATAGTTTAGTTCAGCTGGTAAGTAAAAAAAATTAATTATATTTAGTTAAATTAGTAATTTGCTTGTAATAACTCAAAATAATTTGACATAGGAGAAAGGCACTAGTTTACCATCACAAAGGTTAAATAAACGACCTAGTCGAGGTTTATTAAGGCATATACTTCAGCAAACATATAATCAAGCAGTAGTGGAACCAGATAAGTTAAATCAGTATGAGCCCTTTTCACCAGAAGTATATGGAGAAACAAGTTATGAGCTTGTATGTCAAATGATCGATCAGATTGATGTAACAGATGATGATG